ACCTACCTACCTACCTACGTACGTACGTACGTACGTACGTACGTACGTACGTACGCACGTACGCACGTACGCACGTACGCACGCACACGCACACACACACACACACGCTTGTGCAAACACAGTTGGTACGTGCGTTTCGGTATTGTATACTATATATGTCTATATTCAATATTCTTACGAGTTTTATTTTTCCGTATTGGAGAACGGCTCCTCATGTGGACTCCCAACTTCATTAAAAGCAGAGCCCACTCGAAAACTATTCGATTTCTTTATGATCCGCTTGCCGTGGACAGGCAGCGATTATGACAGCGGTTCCTCTGTGCTCGGCTTAGCTTCTTTCAGAAGGCCCAGCTTGACCACGACACTTAGCCTTTTGTGCGGCACCTGACATGCGTAGAGGGCATGCTCTAGAATTTCGACGAAACGAAGCAGCGCACGGTGCCTGGGATGTAATATAGGATCGCGACCAATCCCGGCATGGCCCACATAGTGACATGGTGCGGCACATTTCGCACAGAGTGCAGCAAGACGTGACAACACAGCGAACGGGCCAGATCATATATTGCCGTGCGAGTGGGTCCCCGGACCTACTGTCCTGGAGCTTCGCCCCTTGTAATACCGTTAACGAAGTGTCAAACACAGACACAGGTATTCCCCCACCTTTACGTATGACACCCATGGTAAACAATGGTATGGTTTGATAATCATTTTTGACATATGTCTTGTACAAGACGTCGCCGGCAATTGCGCGAACTGCGTGAAGCTTCCAAGCTCCGCCGAGGCCTTCACTTCGGCTTTTGTTGCCGGCGCGGCAATCGCCTTCATCTCTCGTCGCTGGGAGCACTTTGAACCACTTGCTTTACTGACGACACGGGCTGGCTCCGTCTTTTTTGGTTTTTGGACCTGGGTTCGACATCAATCTGACAGAGCGAACATGTGGGACGGTCGCAGCCATCGGCCGCCTGCGTTAATTTGCATTATCATCTCACGTGTCCGCTTCTGTGAGGTGCCCGTCGACGGGGCGTGAGGAAAGCTGTCCGCTGCTGTTCAGAATTCACTCGGATGGTGACCGGGCTTTGGGAGACCGTAGGCATGACGTTTTGATCCGCATGCAAACCGAGGATGGGTGTATAGTTGCGCCTGTCGCGCGGCGGCCACTCTGCCGCACTATCCCTGAACCCTCGGGCGCAGGGGGAATCACGCAAACCCGGTGGGGCACGGGCACAAGCAAGAGATTGTACCAAGCATATGGAGTTACTCCTAGCATTCCTTAATAGCGCGAACGCTCTTACTTCAAGAAACTCATTATCCGAGAATTTTGTTTCGTTCACTGCAGTGCGCGCGCGGATTTGTAATTGCCTGCGAGCTTCAGCGAAGCCGTGAGGGCATCGATGAGCCGGCGTCATGGACTGCATTCGAGTGCGCCAAGCTATGCGAGGCTAGCGTGTCACCACGTGCTGTTCGACAACGCTTGTGTTCCTCGTGGCCACTCGGAGAAGTGTTGAGCGGGGACGCTCGTATCCTATCTCTGGGCAGTCTGGGTCCAGTGATAAGTCCAGGTTGCCTGACATTGGAAGGTTGAGATAGACAATACAGTAGGGTTTTAACGGCCAGATGAGCACATTGATAGACGTTTTTCCATATATATATATATATCATATATATCTATATGCATTTCTGCATCAACATATTAATATCTATTTCTATATCGGTATCTATATGTATATCCATGTCTACATTTAACTTATACCTTTTCTATATCCAATATGTATATCTATGGTTCTTGGACCTGTTCTTAATTGAGTACACTCTCGGTCCGCTGTCCTTTCTCTCAGCTGGTTGGCCATTGTCACCTCGCAGCCTCGGCAGAGCGAGAGGGACAAATCTACACCTATCAAGACCTACATATCATAGATATATGTACATACATACATACGTACATACATACATACATACATACATACATACATATCTGTGTATGAATACGTAAACATGCACACGTAGAGATGCACATCCACCCACTGATGCAATGTACGCCGTCTCTCCGCACAGGTCGAATGCCTGCACGGCACCCGCAGCGCCGATGCCAATGTCGAAGCAACTAGACTGCGCCAGGATGATGTATAGCAGGGTTGATCCCATCCTCTGGTCTGAAGCCTGTGCAAGTTTTGATCAGGCCAAGCCTTATGTTCTTGAAGCGCCAGTCTCATTCCCTCCTCAGCGAGGCTGGGACTGCTGTCCGCTTCAAGTTTGCATGTTTTTCCGGTGGTCTCCCCACAGGAG